TATGTGTTATAGACTAATAAAAAACGTGTATGTGTATATAGACTAATACAAACACGTGTATGTGTATATAGACTAATACAAACACGTGTATGTGTATATAGACTAATACAAACACGTGTATGTGTATATAGACTCGTACAAACTTGTATTAGTCTACACATACACGTGTTTGTATTAAGTATATATAAGTGTTGGTAGTGAGTTTACACAAGTGTATTTAAGTGTACTGAGGAGTTCGTAGGGCTGAGGAAGTGTACTCGCAAGTGTTGGATCAACAAAAGTGTTTCTTGGAGACACTGTATTGTCCAGTCGCTGGTGTAATAGGTATCTTTATTCCGAAACGTTTCGCCTACACAGTAGGCTTCTAAAGTCGAGTACAGAGGCAGTGGAAGTGAAGGTGATGTAATCAGTCCCTCAGGCATGGAGAAAAGAGTGAGGTGGTCAGTCCCTCAAACTGAAAATGTTTGAGGAAACGGCCCGTCAAGGAATGGTTTTTTCAGTCCAATACAGAGAATAAACAATGGAAGACGAGGGGAAGCTTGAAGTAATCAGTCTCGTTAAAAGCATTAGTTAAGTAAACCCAGGTTTTGTTTTATCCATGTGGGTTTATAGTTAGTTTCCTAGTAAAGATGGTTTTGTGAAGATTAGCGGGTGTGATACAGTAAATTAGGGTATTTAAATAAAGTCCTTGGTCAGTCTCGTCCCTTCCTAACCTACTTGTGACGCCACTGAAGATTCTTGTCACGCAGTGAGTTAATAGCTCTTGATTCGGGGGATTGGAACTTATCTGTTTCTCTCCTGGGCTTGTAGATAAATGTTTCAGAGATAGGTCTCGCTACAGTGGCTTCCTCAGTCCAGTACAACGAAGAACGGTGAAGATCAGGAGTTGTCGGTAATTAGTCCCTCAGCCTTTAGTCTGTGCAAATAGTATATACACTGAGAGGTGTATATCTCAGTGTATATACACTGAGAGGTGTATATCTGTGTATATACACTAGAGGTTGTATATCTCAGTGTATATACACTGAGAGGTGTTTTATCTCGTGTATATACACGAGTGAGAGGTGTATATCTCAGTGTATATACACTGAGAGGTATATACACTGAGAGGTGTATATCTCAGTGTATATACACTGAGAGGTGTATATCTCAGTGTATATACACTGAGAGGTGTATATCTCAGTGTATATACACTGAGAGGTGTATATCTCAGTGTATATACACTGAGAGGTGTATTCTCGTGTATATACACTGAGAGGTGTTTATCTCAGTGTATATTACACTGAGAGGTGTATATCTCAGTGTATATACACTGAGAGGTGTATATCTCAGTGTATATACACTGAGAGGTGTATATCTCAGTGTATATACACTGGTAGTTTACATTAATCAGTATTTTAGGTATTAAAGTATTCTTGACTGGTGGTGTACAGGTGACCTGCAGCCTTAATGACCCTCGTGTAGTAGATAGACTTTAAACCCAGCTAACCCAATAAGATCAAATTGGGCTACATTTCGATCCAGAAATTACTGAAACATGGCCAAGTTGCATCCCGATCTTGTGGGTTATGGCTGATACAGTGGAAAATCAGTGTGTGTGGCTGTCCTGTTATCTAGGTCAGGTGGCCGCGGCCTTTATGATTGTATAGGGTGACGTCTAGGGTTTTGGGAGGGCAATTAGGATTGATCCGAGGAAGGGGGAAGGCTCCCAAGCCCTCGGATCAAGAACCCTTCAAGGTCTTACATAAGGTGCGTCGTTGTGTGCCTCTCTAAGGCACTTCTGATCCGAGGAATTGGATGTTTCTTCAAGGGGTGGCATGGGAATGCCTCGTACCCCTAGGGTTTAGGGCTTTGATAGTAATTTACTCCGTTAATAGAATACGTGTGTACTTGCCTATATGGGGTTGCAGGGGTCGATTCACAGCGCCTGTATATGTATACATACCTGGAGGTTACCTGGAGGTACGTTTGCTTGTTGAGTGCTCCGGGATTCAAAGTGTTTTTCTTTTTAGGCGAAACGTTGCCTCAGTAGTTGAGACATAGTGGGACAGGTTGTAGGCTGGAGACTGTAGGTAGGTAGGTAGGTAGGTAGGTAGGCAGGCTGGAGGCAGTTTGTAGGTAGGTAGGTAGGTAGGCTGTAGACAGTAGGTAGGTAGGTAGGCTGACTGGAGACAGTTTGTAGGTAGGTAGGTAGGCTGGCTGGAGACAGTTTTGGACTCTCTCTCCTGTGGTGTCATGACTCAAACACTGGCCAGTTCGACCTTCGCCGCTTTACGGTGTTGCAGAACACTGTATTTATATAACATGAAGGAACTGGTAATCCACTTTTTTAAGGTTGAAATCGTTAGTCTTGAAAAAAACAAATTTAAACGCTTTTATGCCGGCAGCATCACTCTTAGGTATGAGTGACACTGCCCAATTCTCTGAAGTTCTCAGAAGTTCAGAAAGCTGTTTTTTGTATTGAATGTACACGTGTTCTAGGCTTTATAACTTGTGTAGGACGGTGTCGTATTTGAGAACATGTGGGTACAGTAACTGGCGACAGGTATAAGAAGGCGCGCACACACTGTCTGGGGGACGGATTACCAAGGACTTCTGTTTTTTTTTTTAGCTGTTGCTAGACGTGGTAGAATGGGGCGGCGGGGGGTGAGACATGACCTAAGTAATTAGCAGTAAACCAGTGGTAGTGGTCGTACTACAGGTCATTATGTTTACAGGTTTGTTAACTGTGATAAGAGTACTCTGGTGGAAAGTGTGGATGCGTTGGCAACACAATTCTAAACGCATGGTGACTGGTGTGTTTGGGGGTGGGTCGGTGGGTTGCTTGGTGGGTTGGGGATTAGGGGAGGGTGGGTGTGTGTGGGGGTAAAACCCACTTCTCCCAGTCTGTCGTCATGGCGATGCTGTTACGACCTCGTGAACAGACACGACTTGGAATTTATCAAGATACTTACTTGTTTCCTCAGAGATGCGATGTGTTTTATACATACACAGATATTAGCAATTTAAATTATACGCTTCAAGCACTTGCCCACAATTTAGAACACAATTTACTGAACATACGAAGGTTGAGCAATACTCTGCGCTATTACGTTGTATCAAGAGGCCACACAGCATCAGCCAGCGCTGCTGCTGCTGCATAGATCGCTAGCTGGGTCAGGGAAAACAAGGGAGAAGCCAGATATTCGTTGCCAAACACACTAGTTTGACTCGTGCCAGTTGCTGAGTGAAAGTACCATCATTTTGCTTCCTGGAATAAGCACAGCTCTTGGGGAATGCTGGGGTTGCGTTTTGGGAACTCTCCCACATCCACCCACACACCGGAGATGAAACTAGGGGATGCTCCAGCTCCTGTACCAGCATCAGTTGATTACGGTCCAGTCTACCCAGAGATCAGGAGTGAGAGAGATTAATCTTAATGGACTGTAAATCGTTCTACCTTTTATTATACACATTTATAATGGTGCATATGTTTGATGTTCTTCTGTTTTCCCTTCACAGATCAATGGTGAGAGAGTGCCACTGGAGATCTGCTTACTGAGGAAGGTGTCGCACATCCCAGGTGTGATCAAGCTTATTGCCTGGTTTGAGCTGGTTGACTGTTTCATCATTGTTATGGAGAGACCAGAAGCGGTCAAGGACCTCTTCGACTACATCACAGAGAGGAAGCTACTACCGGAGCCTGAAGCTCGGTACCTCTTCCGTCAAGTGGTTGATGTGGTCAAGCAGTGTCATGCAGCCGGGGTCATTCACAGAGACATCAAGGACGAGAATTTGCTCATCACTACGGACAGACAAGGCAGAAAGATTCTAAAGCTTATTGATTTCGGCTCTGGAGCCTTTCTGAAGGACAATGTTTACACTGACTTTGATGGAGGTGAGTTGTCAAGCTTCTTACCCTAAAATAAACCGCAAATACTGATCCCTTAAAACCATTCACTGGTCTGTATGATACAAAAATAAGGTAGTTTATATATTACATTAAACCCGATAGTTTTATTTAAGCGTCAACCAAATTTCACCACAATTTGTCAATGAACGAATTATTGTGGTTGTGGAAATGCTCTGGTTGCCTTAGTTATCAACCAGTTTCACTTGTTTGCAACTGTTTACAGTTGTGAAATAGGTAAATACGAGATAATAGGGGGAGGGAGGGTGAGTCAGGACCGGCGTCACCTGCGTGTGTTTAGTGGCGTAGCGGCGGCGGGTCCGGGTGGCGCCTGGCGTCGAGTTACAGTGGCGCCGCGCCAGCACCTCACGCGACCCGTTGTTGGCATCGTCCCCCGTCCCTAGTCCCTAGTCCTTCCCTTCCCTCCCGTCCCATCTCCAACATTCGGAGTAATTTTAGACACGGTGGTCACGAATACCGGCCCAGTCAGTGACTCATGACATTCTGTGGAATCTAACAACGTCCAGTGAAGGGCTTCTGATCCCAGGAATTAGACGAAATTTCTCACCCCCCCAGGGGCTATATGACCCCCCAAATCCCCCAGGGGTTCTTAAATTGAACCTAATTGCCTCTCATTCTTTCCCTAGGCTCTCTATGGTGTTTAAACCTTCAGAATTTCAACTCTTAATATTATTGTCTTGTATATTTTGTCGAAGAGGAAAGAACTGTAAGAGACCCTTATAGTCTTAGTTCTTTGCCTTGTTGGATAAATTGACAGATACAACTGTGATTGTGGCAACGTTTCGCTCTTCAGGAGCTTTATTAAGGCTCCTGGAGAGTGAAACGTTGCCACATTAGTCGCATCTGTGTCCATTTGCCCGACATCTTGTCGGTAATTTTAACCACTATTGCTACTGTGCCTTTTTTAACCAGTTTTTTTTCCTGTTGTTCCAGGTACCAAGGTGTATGCACCTCCTGAGTGGATCCAACATAATCAGTATCAGGCTGGACCTGCTACCGTCTGGTCTCTGGGTATCCTGCTCTATGATATGGTCTGTGGTGACATTCCTTTTGCCCAGGATGACCAAATCCTTTCAGCGAGAGTCAACTTTCGGATCCCCATCTCCGAAGAATGCCAAAATCTCATTCGTATGTGTTTACGAATTAGCCCGGAAGATAGACCATCCCTGGAGCAGATTTTGATGCATCCGTGGATGAAAGGACCTAGGGATTCTGGAGCAGGACTCGTAGGATGTATGGGAGGTGCTTTAGGTCCTATGGGTCTTCTTTCTGACTCTATACTCGACAGTGATTCATCCTCTCTAGACAAGCATTCCACGGGTAGTGATGTTTCCCGAGAGTCAGAATCTGAGTTTTGACGGCTGCAAGGAAGATAGGCATGCGCATGAAGGCTGTCAGAACCAAGCCTGATTGGAAGGCACACTACTGACAAGACGGGTAACATGAAGCTAACGCAGCAAGCTGTCAGGAAGTTTCCCAGTGACAACTCATCTCTGACAGCTTGCCCTGTGTGTGTTTATTGTACCCAAAGCCCAGTCTCATAGATTCTCTCATATACCCCCGCCCGGAGGCGCTGGACGCCATACCTCGCAGCTCTGAAAGGTGCTAAACTACCCCCCCAACACCCGCCAGTAAGGGACCCTTGTGCCTCGGCACGAATTTCACCAAAGCCCATTAACATTCGCCCGAGAGATGTCTCGCAGGGCGAGTGTCCTCGTCTCATTACCTTCTCTAAGAGAAGTTGTACATAATGTATTTAAAACCATATTTATAGTAAGTTATATTGTAAATACTGTAAAAAAAAACCGCTTTCTATACTCTATCTCCAGTCTTCTCGTCTACAGAGAGAAAAATGCCATCAATGCAACCCGGTTTTTATATCATAGACATTTATACAAGATTTTTATTTTTGTAAAAAAAATTACGAATTTCCGATAATGCCAATAAAATCCAGAATTTTTTAACGTGTTTTATATATACAATTTAATTATGTGTTAAATAACTGGTACGACGTCTCTGAAGATGCTTATAATTGTAGTTTTTAAAAGTCTGGACCCCTCAGGGAAGGTTCCTTGATGTTGGTGAGGGGGTCTTGATTATAATAATGTGCCTTGCGTACTCGGGGAAGGTTCCTTGATGTTGGTCAGGGGCTCTTGATTATAATAATGTGCCTTGCTTTACTAAAGGGAAGGTTCCTTGATTTTGGGTGGGGGCTCGGATTATAATAAGGGCCTTTGGGTACTCAGGGAAGGGTTCCTTGTGTTGGTCGGGGCTCTTGATTTAAAAATTGCCTTGCGTCCCTTCCGGGAAAGGGTTCCTTGATGTTGGTCGGGGGCTCTTGATTATAATAATGTCCCTTTGGGTACTCGGGAAGGTTCCTTATTTTGGGGCCGGGGCTTTGATTAAATAATGTCCTTGCTTTTCCCCAAAGGAAAATTTTCCCTTTGATTTTTGGTGGGGGGATCTTGATTATTTGTGCCTTTGGGGCGTACTGGGGGAAAGGGTTTTCCTTATTTTGGGTTCGGGGCTCTTGATTAAAATTTAATGTCCCTTTGCGTCTCAAAAGGGCCCTTGATGTTGGTGGGGGGGATCTTAAATTATAATGTGCCTTGCTACTAAAGGGGAAGGGGTTCCCTTTGATGTTGGGGGGGGGTTCTTGATTTAGGGGAAATTGGGGATCTGTGCTCCATTTCCCTGAATTAAGCCTGAAGGGCCTTCCACACCCCCCCAAGGCGCTGGTAAAACCCTCCGGGTTTTAGCGCCCCCCTTTTTTGATTATAATAAAAAAAAGGGGGGCTGGGGGATTTAAGCCAGGGGGGGGGTTTTCCCGGTCAGATGACTAAAACCCGGGAAAAACTGAGAATACACCCCCAAAATTTACAAATGACATCCTGTGAATAAAAAGTGATGTGAGGAAGTTGAGTTTTTTCCTCCCCTTCCTTGGGTCAAACCCCCCATTTTCCCTGTAATGTATAACCCCGTGGGTTTGGCGCTTCCTTTTCATTGCGGAAAAAATCGAAACGAAAAAAAATTTTTTTAAATTTTCCTTTAAATGTCTTGATGCCTTTGGGGGTCTTTAAACAGGAACCCGGGAATTTCCCTCCCTTTCCCCTGGGTCGAGCCTTGTTCCTCCTATTTTCCCCGAAAACCCCAACGCCTAACCCCAAGGGCCCCCTAGCAGCAAGTGGTACCCGGTGGACAAGAAAAATCTACGGATTTTTACTGAAAAAGGTAACCAAATACATTACAAGGTAAAAACAAGGGAAAATGACAAGGTTACCAGTTTCATGTAAAAAAAAAAAAAGGTATACCAGTACCCTGTACAAAAGGTTTTAAACCCCGTACATTTACAAGGGATTCAAGAAAATTTTTACAAGGTATACCAGTACATGTACAAAGGGGGTTTCCCAAATACATGTACCCGGGATACAAGTACATGTACAAGGTTTTAAATTACAAGGGGATACACTTTCATTACAAGGTACCTTTTACCCGGTTAAAAATAAAATTACAAAAGGGAACAAGTAAAATGTACAAGGGTTTCAATAATGTACAAGGTATATCCCGTACATGTACAAAGGGATACAAGACTGAAAAAGGTTTACCCGTACATTTTAAAAGGTATAAAGGGACAAGTAAAAGGTATAAAAAGTTTCATGTACAAATATACAGTACATGTAAAAGGTATACAATTTCATGTACAAGGTATTAAAAAGTACATGTTCAAGGTATACAAGTACATGTACAGGGATTACCAAATGCATGTCAAGGGGGACAAGGCATGTAAAAAGTTATTTCAAGTGCAGGGACAAGGTATTCAAGTGCTTTTACAATGTATACAGGTACATGTACAAAGGGGTTTCCTTTTAAAATTTTTAAGGTAACCCCAAATTCTTGTTAAACCCTTTTACAAGTTCATGTACAATGTTTTCCATTTAAAGTACAAGGTTTTAAAAGTACATTACAGGTATACAAAATACAGGGACAAGGTATTTCAATACATGTACAAGGTAACAAACTTGTTTCAAAAGGGAAAACACCCCATGCTGACACAGTGACATCTAAATATATTAAAAAATCCATTTTTATGCTGAGAATTTTCCCCTTTAAAATTTTTTCAGTTTTGGGTTCCCCGGGGCGACCCCCCAAAACCCGTCCACTAACACACCAAGGAGTGAACCCCCAACCCGTCCCCTAAAAACCCAGGGTGCGGGGCCAAACCAAATCCACTAACACCCAGGATGCACCCACCCATCCCCCTTTAAAACCCAGGATGTTTACCCCCCCCAACCCACTAAAACCCCCGGTGGACCCCACCACCACAAAAACATCCCGGATGCCCCCCAAACCGTCCCTAACACCCAGGTTTTGAAACCCCCACCAGTCCCCCAAAACCCCGGGTGGGACCCACACCATCCCCCAACATCCAGGGGGTGACCCACACCATCCACTAACACCCAAGGATGTGACCCACCCCAGTCCACTAACACCCAGGATGTGCCCCCAAAACCAGTCCACTAACACCCAGGATGTGACCCACCCCAAAGTCCACTAACACCCAGGATGTGACCCAAAACCAGTCCACTAACACCCAGGATGTGACCCACACCAGTCCACTAACACCCCGGAGTGACCCACACCAGTCCACTAACACCCAGATGTAACCCCACCATCCACTAACACCCAGGATGTAACCCACACCAGTCCACTAACCCCCAGGAGCGACCCACACCAGTCCACTAACACCCAGATGCGACCCACCCAGTCCACTAACACCCAGGATGTGACCCACACCAGTCCACTAACACCCAGGATGCCACCCACACCAGTCCACTAACACCCAGGATGCCACCACCCCAGTCCACTAACACCCAGGTGTGACCCACACCGTCCACTAACACCCAGGATGTGACCCACACCAGTCCACTAACACCCAGGATGTGACCCACACCAGTCCACTAACACCCAGGATGTGACCCACACCAGTCCACTAACACCCAGGATGTGACCCACACCAGTCCACTAACATCCCGGATGTGACCCACACCAGTCCACTAACACCCAGGATGTAACCCACACCAGTCCACTAACACCCAGGATGTAACCCACACCAGTCCACTAACACCCAGGATGCGACCCACACCAGTCCACTAACACCCAGGTACCTACTTACTGATCGGAACAGGGACGTCAGATGTCTTAGGGAAACACGTCCCTAATGTTAACCAGCCATACCAGAGGTGTTTCGAACCCCGGACCTCAGTGTGTGAGGCGAAATAGATTATATAATTATTATAATTATAGCTAACAGAAATAGATTAATATACATCGAAATTTTAGCCTCAATATATATATATTTTTTTTGGAGTTATAGATACAAATAAGCATTATAACTAAATTTAATAGATTTTAAGGTCTGATTTCAGGGGTCAGCGCCCCCGAGAACGGGTCCCAGACCCCCTCATGGTTCCTGTACCTGTAATCTACCTGGTACAATATAGTTTACACACGATCTGAAGAACCATTAACAGGAGAGAGATGACAATAGTGAATCTGGTCAATTATTAAGAACTCGGTTATAATTTAGTTCTTTCTTCAATTTTCTCTTATACGTTTAAATATATATTTGTTTAAATATATTTTTGAAGATATATTTTTTTCATTTATGTTAATGTAAAAATTTTGTACCAAAGAATCTTAGAAAAACCTTAATATATTTATATAAAATATATAATATTTATATATTATATATATATATATAAATATATATATATATATAATATATATATATATTTATATATATATATATATATATATATATATGTGGTGGTGTGTGTGTGTGTGTGTGTGTGTGTTGTGTGTGTGTGAGTGTGTGGTGTTTGTGTTGTTTTGGTGGTGTGAGTGTGTGGTGTGTTTGTGTGGGGTGTGTGTTGTGGGGTGTGTGTGTGTGTGGTTGTTGTGTGTGTGTGTGGGGTGTGGTGTTTTGGTGTGGGGTGTGTGTGTTGTGTTTGTGTGTGTGTGTGTTTTGTGTGTGTGGTGTGTGCTGTGTGGTTTGTGTGTGTGGTGGTGTTGTGTGTGTGTGTGTGTGTGTGTGGTGTGTGTGGTGTGTGTGTGTGTGTGTGGTGGTGTGTGTGTGTGTGTGTGTGTTGTGTGTGTGTTGGGTACTACCTAATTGTGGTTGCATGGTCAGACTCAGCTCTGGCCCCGCCTCTTCACTGGTCGCTATGGATCCCCCTCCTCTCTGCTTCCTGAGCTTTGTCATAACTCTCTTTAAAACTAGTATGGTTTCCTGCCTCCACTACTTCACTTGCTAGGCTATTTCCACTTGCTGACAACTCTATGGACTGAAGAAATACTTCCTAACGTCCCTGTGACTCGTCTGAGTCTTCAGCTTCCAGTTGTGACCCCCTTGCCCCTGTTCCCCTCTCTGGAAAATCCTATCTCTGTCCACCTTGTCTATTCCCCCCAGTATCTTGTATGTCGTTATCATGTCTCCCCTACCCTTCTGTCCTCCAGTGTCGTCAGTCCGATTTCCCTTAACCTTTCCTGTACGACATTCCCTTGAGCTCTGGGACTAGCCTTGTTGCAAACCTTTGTACTTTCTCTAACTTCTTGACGTGCTTGACCAGGTGTGGGTTCCAGACTGGTGCTGCATACTCCCGTATGGGCCTAACATACACAGTGTACATGTCTTTAACGATTCCTTATTAAGGTATCGGAACGCTATTCTCAGTTTGCCCGGGGCCCCCTATGCTGCAGCGGTTTTATTGGTTGATGTGTGCCTCCGGTGATGTGCTCGGTGTTATGGTCACCCCAAGGCTTTTCTCCCTGAGGAGGTCTGTAGTCTTTTTCCACCTAGCCTATACTCTGTCTGCGGTCTTCTTTTCCCCTCCCCAATCTTCATGACTTTGCATTTGGGAGGATGAATTCGAGAAGCCAGTTGCTGGACCACATGTCCAGGGCC